TTTTGAAGGTGAAGGAAGATTTGCGTCCGCACCTGCCTCCGCGTCCAAGTGAAGTGCGGTCCGTAGGAGCAGTCACAGCGGTGTTGGTGTTGTTGTTGCTGCTTCGCCCCAGTGTTTGGGTAGCGGGACAAGAAGAAGGAGACGCGGAATTGCGTCAGCTAAAACAGTCAAAGAAGCAAGGTGAAAAGAATAAAAAGAGGGACAGGACGGTGTATGGCGCACGCTGAGCCTGCCGAGAAGGAGATCGACGCCATTCGCCGCGAGCTCGACACCCTCAAGCTGCAGATGACCACCATGTCGCTTGATTCATCGGCCAGTTCGCTTGATGAGGTTGCAGGCACACCGCAAGGCGGAGGCGATGAGACGGGTCTCCAGTGTTCTATCGACCAGCTGCTTGGGCGGCTGGCGCAGGAGCAAGCGCGACGAAAGCAACTGGAAGATGAGCTTCAGGCCCTGCGCAGGAGTCAAAAGCAAATCACCACCGAATCGCTGGATCCAATAGGTGCGAAGCGGGAGGAGCTCCTTCAACTAACACGTGAGCGGGATGAGCTGCGGGACTGGCTGCAACGCGGCGTGAGTGAGTGCCGTCGCGTTGCAGACGAGGCGTTGCAGCTGAAAAGCGATCTTGACGAGAAGACGCAGCGCTGCAAGTTGCTTGAAACTGCAAAGGAGGAGTTGCAGGAAAAAATTGACATGGTGCAGCTGCAGTTAGCGGACTCACAGTCGCAGCTTGAAAAACTGAAGCAGAAGGAGCGCTTGCTAGAGGCGTGCGCGGGGGAACACGCCCTCTCTGAGCAAAAACTATGGAACTTAATGAACAGAGGCAAAAACAGTATGAAGCACTTGTAGCCGAAGCGGAGTCTCATCGTCTCCAGGCTGAAAAACTTGAGAGTCGCAGAAGTGTGCATCCAGCTTCTGACTGAACGGCTGCAGCAGCTGCTGACGCACATGGAGCGGTTGAGGCAGGCCATACATAAGGGCTGTGTAGAGGAGGTGCCGGCGGACGAATTCTTCCTGCACGAGAGTGTTGCAGAACCGCAGCATCCGCTGGATGAACTTGTTGCGCGGACCCAGGCGCTTCCGCCCATAATTGCGGCTGCCATTCAGCGCCTCCATGAGGACATTGTTGCGTTTATGACGGAGCAGCGGTGCCTTCAGGCAGAGCAGGCAGCGAAGCAGCGCGAGCACCTCGAGGCGCTCCATCTGGAGAAACAGACGCTGCTACACAAGTATGAGAAGGAGCGGGAAACGTTGACTCAGGAGATATCACAGCTTAGGGCGGAGCTGCTGCGCGTGGTCACAAAGGACCCAGTAGATAGTGACGAAAGTTCCAACTGTCAGCAGGAGCGTCTCGTTGATCTAGAAGAGTTGGTACGGTCAAACACCCAGCAGGCGGAGGAGAATGGGAAGCTGCGCAGGGAGAACGACGAACTTCGGGGAAAGTTGCGTTCTCTGAAAATCGATTGGAAAAAGGTCCACGAGAGCCAGTTGCGCTTTCAGGAGCTTCAGCTGGAGGTGGACATGATCGCGCGGACGAATGCGCGGATACGGCAGGAAAACGAAGAGTTGAAGATGCTCATTGAGACTCACTTCGGTCGGCCCCACTCTGGGATGCAGCCAGAGCAGGAACTCCACGGTGAGCAACGTTATTTGGCAGCGGACGGGAGGGGGAGATGCGTGTCGCCTATGCGTCCTGGCGTCTCCACCATCGTTAACAGCGCGGACGCGGGATGCCGGGTGAGTGGGAGTTCCTCTGCGTCCTGCGATCCTTCACGTCGAAGTGTCGAACGTGAGTTATTTCAGGAGTGGAAACGCATGGTGATTAGCAGCTACCTCGAGTAGAGTTATGCTTGTTCTATCGACATTTTACTTTTCATTGTGGCCGCTTTCGTTTTTTGTATTTTTTTTTTTGGCAGCCGTTTTTTGCTTGCCTGTGGAGAGATGACATTTTTGTCTGTGGGCATTTGGGATGCACCATGTGGTTCATGTCATGCGGTGAGCAGCAAGGCGCACTGCTCCTTTTGGGGGCGAGTGCCGCAGCATTTTTTTGTTTTTGGCTTTGTTGTTTGTTCTCGTGGTGATGGTGGACTCCTGTGACAATTCTCCCCGTGTTTCCTGCTGTGTCGTTACCGCACTTTTTAGTGGATTTGTTTTTTCTCCCCATCGCGTTGCTTCGTTTCTGTTTCGGTTTGCCTGAAAATAAGCAGAAGAGGCCGGCGTGGTTGTTTGTAGGGGAGCTGCGGCGATGTTTACCTCGACGTTGCGGCCTCTGTTCCCTCGGCCACTAAATCGCGTGACGCTGGTTGGCGCGTTGCATGATGTGCACATGGGGTTTCTTGATCAGACGAGCGTTTATCAGTTCACTCTAACGTCTTCACTGCTCGAGCCTCACAACAGGGTTGGTGGGGCGGCGGCCAAAAACACCGTGGCGCCCGCACCGCAGCTTGTGAAGGAGCACTACACCGTCCGCTGCTTGGGCGACGAGGCGTACACGGAGGCCCTAAAAAGCATACTAGAGGAGGGCTCTGTTGTGCGGGTGATTGGGCGGCTGAAAACATTCGAGGTGGCGGAGGGTGGGAAAAAACAATTGTTTCCAACCATCCTTGTGGAACAGGGGCGGTGGAGCATCGTGGCGCTGCTGCACTCACCCAGAAAACAGCGTCGGGATTGGCAACTTCAGGCAGCTCTCACGGAGACTTTGCATTCAAAATAGCCGCGGGCAAGCACCCTCACTCTTTCTTTCTGCATGCTCACAGGAGGGCTACCAACGCATACGCACCCGTGGCGGCTGGCTCTTTTAGTTGTCATTGCTGAGTTTACTGCGGTATGACAAGTTGTTTGTGTATTCCGTTGTTTTTGTCCACAGCAGCCTTACAAACAACTTCAGTTGTACTTTCTTCTTGTCTTACTCTCCCTGTTTTTGTTGCTTGGGTTTAGCGTTCCATTGCAATCTTAGTGGTCTGTGAGCATTGAGAGGTGAAGGGGGAGGAGGAAATATAGAAAAAAAAAAAGACAAAACAAAGCATATACAACAGCAACAACACAGACAGATGTCGCTCATTGTGGCTGGGTCCACAGGCGCCATCGGCCGATGTGTTGTGCGTGAGGCGCTGAAGCGGGATGAGTTTGCACGCGTTCTTGCACTAACGCGGTCATCATCGCTCTCCGACCCCGCTGCTCTCTTTGGGCTCACCGTAGTCTCGGAGGCCTCGGAGGCAAGCGCCCCAGACACGATAACGAAGGAGCAGCTAACACGGCTGATGCCTGTTAGTGTTGACTGGGAGGAATTTTTGCGATTCTGGCAGCGTCGAAAGGCGCGACAAGCGGGCGCCACGGCAAACATTTCAGCAAATGTGGACAGCGGTGAGGACCCCGAGGCGGTGCATTATAACGAGCTCTTTAGCGGACATAAGTACGCTGCGATGTGCCTTGGCACCACACGTCGCGATGCGGGGAGTGCTGCGGCATTTGCGCGGTGTGATTACGACTACGTTGTTGCCTTCGCTGAGGCGTTGCGTGAATTTAGCGGTCAAACTCTCGTCACCTACGCGCAGGTCAGCGCACAGTTTGCCAATAAAAATTCTTGGTTACTCTACAGTAAAGTCAAGGGTCGCGCTGATGCCGCCGTGGAGGCGCTGCGGTTTCCGCGCCTGAGCTTGTACCGCCCCGGCCTGCTCGACCGCGGCGCGAAGACACGCTTCAACGAGAAGATTTTGAATTGGTTTTTGCGGGGCATTCCCGTTGAGATCTGTGGTCGGGCCATTGTAAATGACTTTGTGCACAGCAGCGACGCAGCGTCGTTGCAGTCACGCCAATGCGCTGGCAAACGAAGCAGCGCAACGGCGTTGGGTGAGAGCAAAGACGAGTCAGAGGTTTATATCTTTGCAAACGACAACATCAAAAAAGAGGCCGCGTATCTCAAATGAATCCCTCCCGCTCCGCACGTGGGGGAGCCTCTCCAACGAGGCAGTAGCCTACTAGCATCTTATTTGTCATTATTATTATTTTGGGTCAGGCACAATGACAACGCCACTGAAGTAAAATTGTCCCCGCCCCCCTTCCACCATCACCCCTGGTGGTGCTTTCCCCGCTTTTCCCCTCTCTTTCTCTTTATCTCTCTCTCTCTCTCTCTGGGTGGCGCGTATTCCTGCTCTTTTTTACTTTTTGCTGATCTTTCTGCTAGAACCTTACTTTCTCGCGGTTGAGTGCCTGCTTGTGGGCCTTCACAAACCACGCGAGCGTCTGTGGACTCCACACAGACGGATTAGAAATTTGACTGTGCGAGGCTGTGCATCTGACTCGCCCCACAACCTTGTGAGACGTTTACTCGCCACCATCAGAGCGGCAGCGACGGGTGCGACGCGCTTTGGAGACGTGTGAGAGGCTTATATTTGCTGATAGCAACGAGGAGTTTTTTGGTTGAGATTTTGTTGTGCCTTTTCTCCTTCCCCTTTCTGTTGTTGTTTTTTGGCGGGTTGCATCTCTGGCTCTTCTGACAGCCTGCCTCTTATCGCGGCCGGTGTGGGAGGAAGCGAGAACGGACGCGGCATTAGTGCGTGCAAATGGACTTTTTTGCCATGCTCAACCAACGGCAGCTGGACCAGAATAGTGAACTCCGCAGACTGTACCGCGTCTCTGCGTGTTACGCGACGGCGGCACTCGTGTCCCTGCTGCTAGCATCCGTCACGCTTTGCACAGAAGTCTCATCTGAGATGCGAAAAGGTGCTTTCTGGGCCACTGTGTCGTCGCTTGTATTTTTAAGCTTTACTATCATAGCCTACACCATGATGATGCGGGCACTCAATGTTCTGAGTACCAGCCGCTTTATCCTTTCGCCCGCCTATGCGTCGCCTCGTTTCTTCCCTTCGGCTTTTTTTATCTCATTGCCCCAGGATGTTTTCACATGTAGACGACGCCTCTTACTTGTATATGCTCCACTGCTCCTCACTCTTCTGTGTCTTTATGCTGGAATTGTCGCAAGGTCCTACAGTATCTATTTGTGTTCCCTGCTGCTGCTTGTAGTGTGCTTCTGTGTCTTGTGGAGCATTTTAAGCCGTATGGTGAACTCCGCACGGTTGTGAAGGTTTTTTTTTTTAAAGGATGTATCTCGCCTTCTAATCCAATTTAGGGTGGCGCGAGAGGAGAGTTAGAGAGAGAGAGAGATAGCGTGTGAGTGCGTGCGTGAGTGGTTTGAGGGATACTGCGGCTCATGGTGTTCGCGATGGTGGTGCGGGGCATGTCGGAGCCGCAGGGCCTACTACTACATGTTTGAGCGTTAGCTGTATGGGGGTCTTTGATTCTCTTTACTATTTTTATTTTGTGTCTGCATTGTTACTTTGGTAAGACGGTACTCTTCGCCATCTCTCTTCGTGGTGTGTGAGGAAGTGTGTTCAAGTGTGTCTTCCGTGCCTCTACACGCGTCTATAACCCGCTTTGTCTTTGGTCCCAGATAGAGTTGTAGTTTGCAGGGAGCGGGTGTGCCCTCACTGGGGAAGACTTCCGTCGCGCGTTGGAAGCGGATGACTCAACCAACCGTTTCCATAATGCAGCGTGCGGCAACACACAACACTCCAAAGTTTAGTGTGAAGAAACCGTCCGTTCCGCAAACGGGTTGCAGTGTTCGTCGGGCAAAGGAGCCCCCCGTTGTCCGCGCCGCGGCCGCGGCAGTAGTGCCATTGCACCGTAGTGAGCTGGAGGAGCGATTGCAGTACCTGCTGCATGTAGAAGAGGTGGCATCCGCCGTTGGCCCCAATGATTTAATGCAAGTATTAGCAGAGCTGCGACGACGGCGTCAGGAACGAAAGGCTGTCGTCCTCACAAGACGACGCATAGCGGAGGCCCCAAATGCAGTCTATCCACATGTGACAGCGCTTGTGAAGGCGTGTGAGTCCACGACCGATGCAGCCACGATAGATATTTTGCGAGAGTTTTGTCAACACCACTGTACACCTAGTCGAAATGAAAAAGGTCGATCACTGATATACACAGCACTTGCAGAGGTTTTACTGAAGCGTAGAGCGAATGAAAGTGACGTTGCGGAGGCTCTTTATCTTTTAGACGAAGCGGTGGCTGAGGGACATGCGGGGGCAATGCTTCTTATCGGTCTTTCTCTTCGCGATGGGATTGGGGTGCCGGAGGACTTGGAGGCGGCGCTCACGTGGGTTGAGCGATCCGCCGATGCCGGCTACGCCCCCGCAATGTTTGAACTCGGGGCGATGTACGAGGACGGTGTAGAGAGTGCTGGTGGCGACATCCTGGAGTCCGACTGGGGTGAGGCTGCAGAGTGGTATAAAGCGGCTGCGGACCTGGGGCACACAATGGCCCAGCTGAACCTGGGAAAGCTCTTGTGGAAGGCAGCGGCAATGGCAGGCGACGTCAAATCTGACACATGTGACCAACGCACCATCGTGGATCTTCAGACCAAATCACGCGCATGGCTGGAGATGGCGGCGTCTTCAGGGAGTGAGGAGGCCGTGCGGCTCCTTCGTTGTAGATAGCGCATGCGGTTGGGGAGGAACGGTGATCATCTTCGCTTTATTGTTACTCCATTTTCTCCCTTTTTTTGTTTTTATGTTTGCCTCTTATTTTTGCCTTGGTGCCTTGCGGTTATTATTACTATTTGTTGCGGTGCCGATATCATGTTCATCTCGACTCAAGATGCATATGTGTATGCATGTATGTATATGTGCCTCCCTCACCCCTTCCTGACACCGGCATACAACGCACCCCACATGAGAAATGCAGAGGCATTGACGTGTGAGCACATGTTTGACTGAAACTTTAAAAGTTGTCTCAAAAATGGAAAATAAAAAAATAAAAAAAACAAAGGCGCTGCTTCTTCTAGTGTGTGCCTGAGCACGGCGACGGTGTTTGCGACTCCTTCCGAGCGCGAGTGTCTGCCATAGTGATCATGACTGGTGCGGTCCGTCGTTGTTGCCGGGGGTGGTGGTATCATAGCTCTTTCTCTTTTTGTGAGTGTGTGTCTCCGTCTTTCTCCGCCTTCTTCTATCACTATCAATTTTGTCGTGCCACCCTTCTCTCTTGTGGCTTCCTGGTTGCAGTCTCTTTATTTCTGTTGCTTTTGCTGTGTAAGCGACGGCAACTTGTTTGCTTCCGAACTTCCAAGTGCCACACACACGCACACACACACACCTAAACCCAGGGTAACGAGCAAACTCATCTAGCGGGTATCACCCACGTAAGAGGAGAGAAAAAGGAGGGAAGGAGAAGAACAGTTAAGAACCTTGGGGCAGTGTACTTAACGTGGAGAGGGATAGGTAGAAAAGTAAGAAGGGAAACGGTCACACAACCAGCCAAAGCTGGGGAGGGGGGGCCGAATACCGTGGGGAACGGGAGCCAACAAGTAGTAAAGACAGGGTGTGCACTGCCGTCCTTTTTCTTTTCTGTGTTCCCATAATTGTCATTATTAGTCCGTTTTTTTTTGTTTTCTTCTACCGGGGCCCTCCTTTGACTAGCCGCAGTGTGGCGTCTTGCTTAGGGACTTTGCCATGATTACAAATAACAACGTCATTCGTGAGCTGCGTCTGCTGCGGCGGCGGCATTGGTCAACATGGGTGACCGTGTGGCCGTTTGTGGTGCTATACGCGGTATCCATTATGCTTTACATGGACCCTGAACTGGTGTGGGACCGCATGACGTATCTCGTGCACTCGACATACATTGACTTTTTCCACGCTATTTGCGCTCCTGTGGTGCTTTTTTTGCATGGCTTCCTGTCCCTCTTTACCATCTGGTCCGTACGCTTCCGTGCCGTTATTCTCTTCCGGAGTGTGACCCAGGAGCACATGGAGTCGGCGACGCATGTGCTTGTTTGCACGCGGGAGCACCAAGGGGAGTCGGAGATTGTGCCACTGATTCAGTTTACTGATGAGTACCCGACTTACTTTGTGTTTCAGGAGCGAAAATGGAAGCTTGACGCCAAGACGGGACGGTTTGTCAAACCGATCTTTCCTGTAAAGGAGCTCCTACCGCACTACCTGGATTGGCAAGGGTTGAGTGACCCCACCATGTGCGAAAAACAGCTTGATAGCTTTGGCCCAAACAAGATGGAGGTGGTGATTCCAGATTTTCAAACTCTCCTGGTGGATCATGCCTTGGCTCCTTTCTTTGTATTTCAAATGTTTTGCGTGCTGCTATGGTGCCTGGATGAGTACTGGTACTACTCCCTCTTTACCGGGGTGATGATGGTGGGTATGGAGTGCACAGTTGTGATGCAACGCATCCGAAACATGAAAACGTTACGAGATATGGCGGAGGTGCCGGTGCGTGAAGTAACAGTAGTGAGACAAGGACAGGAGAAACGCATCAAGACAAACGAGCTGTTGCCGATGGATCTCATGGTGGTGGAGAGCAATGCCCCCTGCCCAGTGGATTCCATAATTGTGCGCGGCACATGCATCGTGAATGAGGCAACCTTGACTGGTGAGTCAACGCCGCAGCTTAAAGAGGCACCTGATTGGATTGAAATTCCTCTAGATATGAAAAAGCACGGTCGCCACCTTCTGTTTTCGGGCACAGAGCTGTTACTTAGCAATGGCCCATATGGTAAGAGCGATACAGAGCGTGGTATGGCTCTCGCTGTTGTGCTTAAAACTGGCTTTGAAACAAAGCAGGGACAGTTGCTGCGTACCATCCTTCACAGTCAGGGGCGTGTAAGTGAGAACAGTGGAGAATCCTTTGCTTTTATTGGGGTTCTTGTGGTATTTGCTCTTGCAGCTGCTGGCTATCTTCTTAAACGAGGGTTGGAGGATCCAAATCGTAGTCGATGGAAGTTGTTTTTGTCTTGCGTTCAAATTATTACGGCGGTTGTTCCGCCAGAGTTGCCGATGGAGTTGTCCCTCGCTGTCAACACATCGCTGCTCTCGCTTGTCAGACTGCAGGTGTTTTGTACTGAGCCCTTCCGTATTCCATTTGCAGGCAAAGTGGACACCTGCTGCTTTGATAAGACGGGCACCCTTACAACTGATGAGATGCTCTTTGGTGGCGTGGACATGGCAGATGGGAATGGTTTGCTGAATCAACTTAAAAAGATACCAAAATTGGCTGAGGTGGTGTTGGTGACATGCCATTCACTGCTGCAGCTGGAGGGGGTCGATACGGTGGCTGGGGATGCCATGGAAAAGGCCGCTCTCGGGGCGCTGGGCTACAGGGTAAACTTGGACGACACTATCGTGTACGACCCACCACTGCCTAAGGACAGTGGCGCGGTGGAAGGCGAAGGGAAGAATTGCGGCGCTGGAAAATCCAAGAAGGCCAAGAAAAATAACATCGACGCCAATAAGCAGTACATGATCCTCTCACGCTTCCCATTTTCGGCGAATTTACGGCGCATGTCATGTGTAGTCAACACCCCAGAGGGGAAGTATGTGGTGGCGAAGGGGTCACCCGAGGCCATCGCTCACCTGTGCAAGAGCGTCCCGCCGGAGTACCACCAGGTGGCGGACACCCATGCGTCCCGCGGCTACCGCGTCATCGCGCTTGCCGCCCGCCCTCTACGAGAGGAGGAACGATCGAAGACTGCTATTCATCATTTACAACGCGAAGACTGTGAAAAGGATCTCATCTTTGCCGGTCTTGCTGTGTACGAGTGCCCATTAAAGAAGGATGCAAAGGACACGATTTCAGTGCTGCAAAACGGAAGCCACCGCTGCGTTATTATTACAGGAGACAGTGTGCGAACCGCCATATCGGTTGGGCAAGATGTGGGGATTTTACGCTGCCGCCGACAGCTTGTTGCACGCGGGGCGAAGTGTGGAAGTGGTGCCATTGAATGGTGCGATGCATCAACGGGGGAATTGATCACGCTTGACCAGAGCGCCATTCTACGCAAAACATTTGTGCACACTCGCAAACACACGACTCCCACAGAGGAGGAGTGGGATCTGTGCGTAAATGCGGAAAATCTCTCACCAGCGAGCATGACGACACTCATCGCGGCATGCAACGAGCACATAGCCGTCTGGGCGCGCTGTGCCCCAACGCAGAAGGAAGACATTGTGACGGACCTCAAAAAGAAAGATCACCTCGTTCTCATGGCAGGGGATGGCACGAACGATGTTGGGGCGTTAAAGCAGGCTCACGCCGGCGTTGCCGTTTTGAACGCCGCTGCTGTGGCACCGCAGAAGAGTGACGGCAAGATCGTGGACAACTCACCCCAGTCACACAATGAGCCGGATGTGCCGCCAGAGCACAAGCTGCCACCAGGATTTAAGTTTACCGTTTTGCCTCCGAAACCGTCTGAGGATGCCCCGTTTATGGTGCAGATGCGGTGGAAGATGGCAGAGGCGCGGCGCAAGGCAGAGATTTTTCAAATTGGGAAATGGAATAAACAGATAGAGGAGATGAAGCAGAAGAAACTTGCCGATAAGGCCGCTATGCCGCCCCCACCAGACAGCTCCACCTCAGACTTTCTCATGCAATCCCTTTTTAATGAGGATGAGATGGACTTTGGCGGACCTCCGCAAATTAAGCTGGGTGATGCTTCCATAGCAGCTCCATTCACCTGTCGCTCGAAGGCACTAATGTCCGTCTGTGATATTGTGCGCCTTGGGCGAAGCACACTCGTAACGACTTTGCAAATGTACAAGATTCTCGCTCTTAACTGTCTAACGTCGGCCTACTCCATGTCTGTTTTACATACAGATGGAGTCAAGCTGGGTGAAAAACAAATGGTCTTGTCCGGTGTCATCTTGTCTGTCTGCTTCCTATGCATGTCACGCAGTCAGCCAATGCCTACGTTATGTCCACAACGACCGATTACACGTGTATTTCATCCCTACATGATCTGCACCATTTTTATGCAGTTTGGTCTGCATCTGTATAGCATGATGCAAACTGTGAAGCTGGTGGAGGAGGTGGACAGCACGGAGGTGGCAAATATGCGGCAGAGTGGCTTTGAGGGGGAGTTCAAACCGACGCTGTTGAATTCCGCAATGTTTTTGCTAACCACACTTATTGGTGGAGTTACATTTGCGGTCAACTACCGCGGTGAACCGTTTATGCAGAGCCTGCGAAGGAATAAGCCCTTATTCTACGCACTGATCTTCCTCAGTTTGGTCGTCATTTACTTTGCGTCCGAGGCAGATCCGGAGGGCAATGCCATGTTTGAGTTTGTCGCCTTCCCGTCAGACGAGTTCCGTAGACGGTTCATACAACTCCTCCTGACAGACGCTGGTGGTTGCTTCGCCATTGAGTACGCCTGCCTTTACTTTTTGACGGACTACCTGTAAGTCGGAAGGCGTGGACGCGGACGGTCGAAGGAGAACGCAACAACCACAAGAAGCAGCGGGAGCGGTGTCCTCTCCCTTTCCCCACAACGACATTCCTGCACAGCGCCGGCAACTGACGTGAACTCCTCAGGGAAGACGGAAGGAAGGAGGGATATAATGCGGGAAAGAAGGGGGAACTAATGCTGGGAGGACCTTTTAGACGTCCCAACGACGCGCGAGCCCCAACCACCTCAAAGAGGAAGAAATGAATAAACATAAATAACCGTAAAAAAAAAAAAATTAACGCGGCTGAAAGGAAGATGAAAATCGGATACGGAAGTGTCTTGATTTCTAGTGGTCTGGTTACTTTGCCGCTTATTGCTGCATTTCATCTTTACGTTTCCGTTCCCATCGTTTTTTTTTTCTTTTCCCCGTGCAGCTCCTGGTGTTGTTGTCACCAGTTGACTCCAAAAGTGTCATTGCTCCAAAGGCGAGGGAAAAAGAAGGAAGGAACAAAAAATAGTAATAATAATGATGGGAGCGGAGGAGGGAGCTAACGGATTTTTAGCTTTCTTCTTGTGCAGGCTGAATTAGAAACCAACGCCGTGAAGTTGTGCCTTCGCGGATGGCATCCGTCAGGCAACGTCTCTCCTAATCATTGATTCTACACAAACGATTTTTTGATGTGCGTTGTTTTGACAGCTTGTGTCTGCGGCGGCGTTGCGTGGTGGTGACGATGACAACGTGTCTCCTGCAGCGGCACCGTTGTCCGCGTTCTCTTTTTCTCGTTGCCCAGTTTTTTTTTCTTTGCTGTTATTTTGGTGTGCGTGTGCGTTGTTGCGATTACAGCAGGGAAAACACGACGATCGCTGCTCATCGAAGGACGCGCAGCATCGAGTTCAAAGAGAGGGCAAAAAAAAAAGAAACGTGGGAGGAAAGCGGGAGTGAGTGGGCGCACTTTTTTTCCCTCTCCTTAAAGAATTAGAGCCATGGCAAGTGGTGAGGCGGACTCATCGACGCAGGTCTTGTTAGACGAGCCGGCACAGTTGCCGAGTGTGCCAGACTACCTTGACAGCACTGTGATGGCGGTGCTGACGGAGGGGCTGGAGGATTTGTGCCGTCAACGTCCCGCGAATCCGGTGGACCACCTCGCCCTCTTTCTCCTTCGCCGCTCACAAAGCAACACTGCGACGGAGGTGTCGGCCAAAGACGCGGTACCTTCCGAGCCTCCAAACAGGTATGAGTAACGCCTCTTTTTTGTCTGTGCGTGTGCTCGCTTTTGCCCGCTCTTGTCATTATGATTTGGCAGGACGTGGTCTGCATGTAGAGGTGTCTTCTGTGATGAGGAAGAAGAAAGCGAAGAGTGATTGCATCGTGGTGAGAATTTTTGCTTGTGCTTTTTTTTTTTTTTTTTTTACTTGGAGCTGATGAGTTGTTCACTTGCCATCGTTTTCTGCCACTCTTCGAACATGTCTGGACACTGTTCTTTGTTCTTTGTTCATTTTTTTTTTTTTGTCTTTTGGTCTGCGTGGTGCTGCCGACCCGTCTGCTTTCTGGTGGCAAAACCGTCCACAACAAAAGACGGGACGAGGGTGGTGGGGGAGGAGAAGAGGTGAGACTCGCGAATGCGATGCGGCATGTGAAATGCTGTTTGTTTCCCGCCACGACGTTGTCTGCCTTTATCGCACGCCATGCGGCAGCCGCACACCCGGAGCGCCAGCTGACTTCAAACCGAGCGAGTGTGGGGCTTGTGTCAGACTCGCGTTGCATCTTTGAAAACCTTGCGGTGGAGGAGGCGTTGTTGCGTGGTGTTGTCCTTCCGCCTGGTCAGCAGTTGCTGTTTTCGTACGTGAACCGTCCGTGCGTGGTTGTTGGACGCAATCAGAATTACCTGCAGGAGGTTGCGGTTTCTGCTGCGAGGCGCGACGGCGTGACTGTTGCGCGGCGGAGCTCCGGTGGGGGGACGGTGTACCACGACACGGGAAATGTGTGTATCTCTTTTTTCACGCATCGTGATGCGTACCACCCGGAGCGGACGATTCAAGTTGTTCGCCTGTTTCTTTGCTGCGTCTTTGGCATTCGGCCAGAGCGGTTGACCACAACGTGCCGGCATGACTTGTTTCTTGATGGGAAAAAAATCACAGGCTCCGCGATGCGGGTGCAGCGCGACATCGCGTGTCACCACTGTACTCTGCTTGTCGCGTCATGTCGCGAGCGCATCAGCACTTACCTTCGCCCGGAAGGCCGGTACGTCTCCTTCACCACCTCGTCTATTGGCTCGGTTTCTTCACCAGTCACGACGCTGCAGCTCTCCGGCGTTATGCCTGAGGTTCGCTGCAGCGGCGACCACCACAATAACAACGATACCGATAATACTGACGATATGGTGCACTCTACACAGCGTGCGCTGCTAGACTTTTTCTTTCGTCATGGTGCGGAAATTATTTCACACAGTGCGCCGTGGGAAATGGAACCTTCCGTGTTCCTTTACCCGAAAAGTAAGGAGACGAAGAAGCATGGGCCAAAAGCACTCCTTGCTCCGATTGAAGGCGTTTTTATGCTGGATCTTGCCAGCACACCGCAGGAGGATACACCCATCGTGGACGGTGAGGGGCGTATGCCGGTCGCCGGAGCCTCGAAGACGTTGCGTGAGGAGGTGGACCGTTTGCGCTCGGCTGACTGGATGTTTTCTATGCCCAAGTTCACGACGTGTGTCGCGGTTACCGTAACGGATCTGCTGAAATATCAGCAGGACGTTCGCGCTGACGCACGCATTCCTGCGGAGGTCATTCTGTACTTGATGCAGAGCCACACTCAGTTTGAAATTACAACGGTTGTCGAAAAACGCCGCATAACAGCACTGACGGTGTGTTGGGGGGAAAAGACGGCGGGAGACATGGGGGAAGCATGGTGTGCAAATATGCTTCGGGTACTTTTGGAAGGAGCCAACGTGGATGATGTCGCGTTGAATGTCAGCGAGGGGAACGCGATGCTTGTGGCAGGCCTTGAGTTTGAGTGTCTCGATCTCATGAATGGCGTGCCTCTTCCACCTGTTGAGGCAGCTAGTGCTGGTGACGTCAGAGGCAACAGCAGTTTGGATGGGCAATCGGCTTTGCTTTTGTTTTTGCAGACGGTGTTGTGTGTGTGGCGCGCCAAGAATGTCTTTGTCCCCGTATGCGCTTGAGAGCAAATGGAGTCGTACGCAGGGTTGGAGTGAGACCGATGGAGTTGGTGGGGGACGGGCGAGGGGTTGATAGAAGAGTGAAATAAAACTAAGACAAGGCACGAGTAATAAATTGTCCGTAGACACAGTGCGACTCCATGTATTTTTTTCCCGGTGCGTGTGTCTGCTTGTTGTTGTTGCTGCTGCTTTTATGTATGTTTGTGGTGTGTGGGTTGTCGGCCATATATATATATATATATATATGTATGCTTTTTGTTGTTGTTCTTCAGCGACGGTGGCTGGAAAGTGCAAAAAAGAAAAAAAATTGACCAAAGAGGCGCAACGAGGTGTAGAAGTTAAATGCAGAGAATTCCATTGCATCTGTCACGGTGTGTCCGTCGAGCGGGACTCTCGCGGGGTGGACAATTCTACTTGCCGCTGCTTAGTCTGTCAGCTCGCTGCTACGGAGGAACATCATCGCTGCACGCTCCAAAGATGGAGACTCCCGCATATCAATGCGGCCAGTGTGGGAAGTCGTTTCGGCTGCTTAACGCCTTGAACCATCACATCATGACGAAACACGCTGGGCACGCGAAGGCGATGGTGCTCAGGGCGGGCAAACTTGAGGAGGTTAAGCCAGACGAGGTAAAAAGCAAGTCTTCACAGACCAGAGATGTCACCCCTGCTGCCTCGATGGCGTCAACCGGAGCCGTCTGGCCCACCACGCAGCTACCAACGGGATTTCCCGGCATGGAGTATTCGCCTCTTGGGGGCGCCGCACCGTTTGCAACTCCTCTTGGAGTTGCATCGGCTGTGCCTCTGAAATCGCCGCCAGGACCGGGAGCTACAATCCCTACCGGGGCAAACGGTAACGAGACAGAAAGCTTCGTGACAGATGAGGATGCTGAAAAGAAACTTTTTGTCTGCACCATTTGCCAGAAAACGTTCCGTCTAGAAGCAGCTCTGCAGCACCATTACCAAGCCAAGCATAACATGGAAATGCCAACGACCTCTACAAGCACGGCTAGTACGCGGGCGGCAAGTCACAGCACTACCATCGCGGGGGCGGCGACCACCATTTTTGGGGGTAACACCGATGACGCAGCAAGGTCCATGACGGGTACTCACTACGTTCATAGCCAGGAGTCTGTTCTTCCTCAGGCACCACAGTACCACCTTGACGTCGCCCCCAACGCACCAGAAGAAGGAGATGTGGCGGCTCACTGGCGCTGCGTCAACCATTGCGTTGTGTTGGGCCCTGTGCAGAACATTCAGGAGGGCTACGTATTTGAAGAGAAGGTTGTACAATTTACATTGATCACAGACTTCGAGGGTCCTTCTCCTGGAGACCCGGATAAGGACTTTCACACAGTAAGAGTTTTTGATAGCTCCTTCTGTGAGCAGCTAAAAAAGGAATTGAAGGAGGGCGAACGGTTCCTCGTGACGGGTCGCTTGCGCATGATACCGCAGTATGACAGTGCGATGAAGAAATATTACCACTACCCAGTTATTCAAGTTCACCCGGGGTGCGGCTCGGTGGTACGGGTGTGATGGCGAGCGTGACTCGCCTTTGATGCCTGTATTACGCTATCGTCTGTGTGTACAAGGGAGCAAACAGGGAACAATATGGAGAGCCATCGAAGGTGGGTAATAAATTTTACATAATGTGCCCTGCCATGGAGGAGTTCGACGAAAGACACCCAAACTGTTTCTTCCTTTTTCTTTTCCTTTTTATCTTACTGTTCCGCATTTACGTTCCCCACAGTGTTTCTTTCGTTTTGTTGTTGTTAGGTGTCATTGACAGTGTTTTTTTTTTTTTGCTTCCTGCGGTAGAGAGGAAAACAAAAAGGGGGAAAAAAAATAGTTCTTGTCGCTGGATAATTTATAGATAAGTAGAAAACCTGCGAGGGAATATGACACTTAGTGCAACTAGAGGGACGATCGTAAAACATGCGTCCGACATGAGTCCAGTGGAAAGCTTCAAGTGTGGGGCGCGTTGCTGCTGTGTTGCTGGTGATGCCGTTTGGGTGGCAGAGTTGAAGGGCGGCATTGCGGTGTGCGACGCCCAGCGAGGGAGCATACTGGAGCGTGTTGCTGTTGGTGAAAGCGACCAGCGTGTACATTTCAAGTCCATGGCACTTGTGCATGGTGAGGTTTGGGCGGGCACGATCACTGGGGTGGTTCATGTCTTTGATGCATCTGGGCGGCGGTGGAAGCAGTCTATGACAGTTTTAGGTGTGGAGGCGACGGCTCCAATTTTGTCACTTTTCTTTGACGGCTTTTCGGTGCTAGGAGGCTCGGAAACTGGTCGCATCGTGCAGTGGAACCCGTTTACAAAGAGGCAGGTGACAGTTTTTGTCGCCCTTGCGCCTGTGACAGCAGTGACAGTTGCCGCGGGATTCATTGTTAGCGGCGATCGCAGTGGCGTTGTGCAGTTATGGGACCCCCGTAGCGGGGAGGCGGTGTACGAGCACACACAAGACGCTGTTGCCGTCACAAGTCTTCTCGCTGAGACGAGCACAGAAACGCTGTGGGTGGGACGACGCAACGGCACTGTTAGCGTGTACGCCCTTGCGGCATCTATGGGCTTTACTGGGCGACTTTCAGTTGGTGACGGTGCTGTTACGTCCATGCTAGCGGTTAGTGGAAAAGTATTAGTAACATCCTACGACAGGGCCATTGTTGTGTTTGCCGCCAAAACACGCGAAGAACTTAGCCGTGCGAAGCTGGCACACGACGCCTTTATTCATTACGCCTCACGCGTGTACGCCGCAGAGACGGCACGCATCTGGACAATTGGGAATGATGGTGTGGTTCATGTGTGGGATGTGGCGGGATATTATTTGCCATGTCAGTCACCACCTATCATCCGTCCATGCGATCAGGCGGCCATGGTGCATGACGCCAGGGGGGCGTTGACGATAGAGAACGCACAGTTAACCACTCGTGTGGCGGAATCCCTTAGTCGGGTGGCAGATGTAAAGGAGGAGTTGCGACAGACGAAGGATGAGGCACATGAAATGCGTCTTCGGTTGATTTCGTTTGAACACGTACTCAAGGAAAAGGACGCAGAGATCGCGTCGCGTGCAGCTCGCGTAAAGGAGCTTGAAGAGGACGTGAACAGATTTCAGAAAACTGTCACGGACAGTAACGCTCGCGCCGATGCAGCGCAGCGGGAGACCAACATGCTTCGCGCGGACTACCACACTGCCTTGCACGACGCCTCTCAGACTAAGGCGCAGCTCTCTGCCAAGATTGCGGAAAAGGCGAGCGTTGAGCAGCGGTTGTTGTCTGTTCGCACTGAGAATTCACACCTGGAGATTCGGCTTCGTGATCGCGAGGGTGAGGTGGCGCAGTTGAAGGCCGAAAATGCGCGTCTGCACGCGGCGGTGGGACAACTTACGTCGTCAAGGTCTACAGACCGGGAACTGCATGAAAAACTCCTCGCCAACGCGGAGGGTGCCGTGCGGCAGGAATTGGAGGAATTGCGAAAGCGTTGTAAGGTTTTGGGAGGCATGCTTGTCTCCATGGAGTACACTATCCGGCGCAAAGAGGAGGAGGAACGTGACATGACGGCACTTATGAATGCCCTTCGTCGAAGGGTTGCAGAAAGTGTCACGGATCTCCATCTGGCTGCGCTGCTTAATCTCACGATGGTGCGCAATCCCGAACGGTTTGAGATGGAGTGCGACGAGCACACAAAATCGTTGCTATGTGAACGTAATGGACCCTTTGTACAGTTTATTCAGGCCCTACGCGATCGTGATCCACAGGCGTATGAGCAACTGCTTGCATACCTTCAGCATCCAGAGGTGGGATCTCGCTTCAGCCCCCTCCTTGACCAGATTTTAAGCCTGGCTCAGAGGGAGGGAGCCGCGTCGGACGACGATATTGTTAGCTTCAAAAAGAGCTTGCCGGTTCTTCTTAATTCACTGAACAGCATGAATGCGGCAGACACTCGAGCTGAGGCTGGAGGAACCTCAGGAGGTGCCACCCTTGCCATGGGAACAGGTTGGGCAAAAGTGAATCCTTCATTGTCGCCAACTTCCGCCACCGATGCAAAGCAAGCTGTTGTTGGAGTTGGCAACACGGGTATCGGGGGTGGTAGCGTTGGGGCTTGCCCGGCTGGGAGCAACGGTGCCACTCTCAATGCTACAACTGCGCAGCGTCCATCTCAGCAGCAACAACAGGCGGCTATGGGAGCTTTAGAAGTTGGTGACGCAGGAAGAATACTACCGACAGATGTCGATGAATTCAAGAACGTTCTACGAAACATGAATATCACCGTTGAACTACCCGACATGGTCGGGATGGGAGCATTTGGCGCGGGGGAGGACGGTTACCTAAAGCAACTTCGAAATGCGTTTGAGTTTATTTTGCAGACACGCCGCGACTTGGTTCAGAAAATGGGAATTCTACTGAAACGCATCGTGAAGGCGCGCCAAGTTATAGATGCTCTGACGAGTAACGCGCGAGAGACTTCATTCCCCACACAGCGCCACCTTTCTGGCAGCGTTGGTGCACATGTTGGGAGGCATAATTTGGGTTCTGTAGCTACAAATATGTTAGAGGAACTTCAACGCTTTGTTTCAGGTATTCTGGCGGTGTACTTTACTGCGGCAGAGAAGCAACGATTAGGAGTAGATGCAGATGCCTAGGCATCCTACAGACTCCACTTCACTAGACGAGAAGATGGCGGCTTTCAGTGTCTCTCTGTGGCGCCATTAACTTTATTTTTAGTATTTTGGTGTGTGCGCAGCATATATACATACATGCATTGGGTGATCTCTTTAGTAACAATCAGTCGCATTGCTTATTATTATTTTTTTCTTTTTGTGTGTTTGTTGCCTTGTAGCAGTCACTGCAGGAGGACATGGCGCACTTGCGCTCTCTCTCCGCCTCACACGAGGACGAAGACAAAAACTCATTTAGTGGGAGTGGCAACGAGTCCGAGGACTCGTCCTCCAGCTGCAGTGCGTCGGTCTCATCAAGCGGTTCTTCTTTGTCCCCCTCGAGTCATCCGCGTGCAAGCCCCGAAAAGGGCAGCTGCGACGCGTTGGCGATGAAACGAATGGAGCGTCACCAGCGCCTCCGACGGTTGCTCTCGCAGCGCAACGTGGGAGACACCAACCCCGTTGACGATGGAAAGTATGTGGAGCCATTCACCACCCGCAAGGGTGTGCTGGACGCAGATGACAGTGTCATTCTATCCACCTTCTCCAACTCACTTTTATTCTCGCGGCTTCTTGCTGTTCTAGGCTCTTGCGATAATTCTGCGCGTTTGGAAAACTTTGACGAGGCGCTTTCAGCTGCGAACCCGACTTTTTATCGGAGCTTCAAGCTTCCACTGGAGGAGGCCGCGGCGCAAACGATGAGAGGTAGTGCCTTGACGCACCGTGAGTGTGCTGCGTTGGAGCGTGGCAGCATCGTCGTTCGTCGACGAAAGTGTGATCGGCCCGCGTGCACAGCTGCTTTTGGGGCCTCCGCGGAGGCGGTTAAACGTGGCCGCACAGCTGATGATCCGTCGGTGACCCGAGGAAACACCGCAACGTCGGGCATTATTGCGAAGTCGCTACGGAGCTGGGAGCAACACCTGTCGGAAGAGTTGAGGGCGGAGGGTGTCTCCATTGAAACTTTTAGGCAACAGCGGCACGGCAACAGTTACGTGGAGGAGATGCGCTTTCTGCAGGAGTCTCAGTGGGCTGACTACCAGCGTGAGCTGCGGCTTGAGGAGAAACGGAAGGAGCAAGAAGCCAAGCGGGCGATACGTCGTGGTGAAAGTAACATAAACTGAGGACGAAGTCATCACACACACAACAAAAAAAAAAAAACGGATGCTTTTGTCAGATTGCTTATCAGTAACGATGCCTTTTCCACTACATAACAGTTAAGCTCTTTTATGTGTATGTGTGTGTTATTTTTATTTCCAGCATTATTATTATTAATGCCTTTTTTGCTTTGTTTCCCCTGACACTGCCACACATTCATGGATAGGCTGAAGGGATACTTACACATGGGACGTTCCGCGAAGATTACGAGGGGTGGGGACAAGACCCGTGTGAATCAAGGCCGGCAGGAAGCAAAGATGCGGGCACAGGGGGCAAAGAGTCATGCCACATCAGTGAAGGAGGCAGTGGAGGCGCGGCGCGCGCAGAAGAAGCGGTCACAGGCCATTGCCACGGAACTCCGCGCCAAGACGCAGGTCCAGGCTACGCCCATAGTGAAAATGGCACCAAAAAGCAAGAAACCGGAAGGATAAGGAAATAATGGAGTTGCCGGATTTAAAGCACTCGTTGGTGTGAGTAAATTCCAGAAGGATATTCGGTAAGTTTCTTTAAGTGCATCAAGTGTGTGTGTATGTGTGCGTGTCTGTTTTTGTTTCGCCCATCTGTGTGATTTCCTGCTGTTTTTCTATGCTCCCAATCTAGTTGCACGGGAGGATCGACGGTAACGCGAAGCCGAGAAGCGAATACGCAGACTACAACAACATTTGTGAGGGGTGGGGTGGGGGGGGAATAATACTAGTACCAGGAATACATTCAAGCAACCACAACAACCACGACGAGAGCAGCATAGAGAGATGCTACGACGTATTGCACTTAGGCCCGTCCATCGGCACCTGGCGACTGCACCCACAGCGCTGGCTCTTCGCTCTGCCTCCACTGTCGCTATTTCTGTGCAGGGTCTGCACTACGTAGGCACTGGCCTTGCCGCCATTGCGCTCGCAGGTGTTGGCCTCGGCATTGGTACCATCTTTGGCAACCTGCTTGTCGCCTGCGCGCGTCAGCCGAACTTGACGAAGATGCTGTTCAACTACGCCATTCTTGGATTTGCCCTGACGGAGGCTATCGGTCTGTTTGCCCTCATGCTTGCCTTCCTGATGCTCTTCTCGTAGACTTTTCATTTTGTTTATTTGCTTGATGGTTCGCTTATTCTTCCCTCTCTTCACTCTGTCCCAGCGTAGAGGGAGACTTGCCTTGATAGATGTGCTGTCTTGTTGTTATTGTTGTTGTTGTTGTTGTTTTTTTGTTTTGGGATATTTCTTCTCTCTGGTTTATTGTGGTTTCTTTGTTTGTTGGTTAACACTGCTCTCTTCCGAAGAGTTGGTCTGTTGCCACCTTGGTGTGCGTGCGTCAATTCTGGTGCCTCGGTGCTTGTTGGAGGAATGGAGTTGCGTGGTGACGTCGTTTCACACCCTGCCGAGCTGCCACTCCCCGACATTGCGACGTTGATGAAGCGGTACATCGAGTTTGTGGAGCCGCTGGATGGGGTTGCTGGAAAGGAAGCCAACATGGAATTTGCTCGGCGGGTAATACGGGGTCTTTCGGAAAGTGACGGTGAAGTTTCTCCCGAGTGGCGCAGTATTCTGGAATATTTTCGCTTTTTGGAGTCCCTTGCAAGGAAGTACAAGCGGGTGTGTAACACCTCGCTGCGAACCTCGCATATCGCGCCTTTGTGGAATTCGTTGTATCTCTGCAACCGGGATCCACTGCCCTTTGGATGGAATTACACGCTATATCTTGATGCGCCATCGCTGGAGCAGCCTTGTCAGCAGCTCAACATATCGTTACCGGCTTTCCGGGCGGCGATTATTGGGGCGGCATCATTTCACGTACGCCACCTTGTTCAGCAACCACTTTTTTTTACACCAGAAGGGCAAAAACGTCTTCCAGAGACCTGCCGTGTGGATTTGAAACTGTGCCGCGACCAATTTACGCGACTACTTAGCACTGTGCGTGTTCCTCACTTGGGCGTGGATGGGTTGCGTTGGTCTCGTACCAACAAGGTGCTAATACTGCGTAAGGGACACCCGTTTGTGTTGGATTGGATCCGCCTCGACAACCAGGCCAGGGTAAGTGATTTGGGTGCACGGTGGTTAGAGGAAGTGGTCGCAAATGCGCGTCTCATTGACGCGTTACTTCGCGAAACGTCCACTATATCTCGGCAAAGAGAAAGTCCTTTGGTGCTGTCAAGCGGGTGCCGTGGAACGTGGGCGCGTATTTTTGAGCAGTTATGGAAGGATCAGACTTCAAAGGCTGCCTTGGATGCTATTACGTCCTGCAGCTTTGCAATCTGCATTGATGAAGAGGTGGATCTTGCTTTGCCTTTACATGGCGGAAAATACCCTGAGAATCGTTACCCCGATATCAATGTGGCATACATTGTGGATCCCGCAGGTGGTGCCAGCTGCAATATTGAGCATTCGTGGGGTGATGGTAGCACCATGTTGCTGGTTTGCGGCATGATCGCTCATTACTCACAATCATTTTGTAAGCAGGACTTTGCCCTGAATCAAACTACATGGATGAACGTGTTACCAGACCATGCTGCACACGTGAAGCCTGTTCACTTTGGTCCATTATCCAAAGACATCCTTAAAGCGATCATGGAGTGCCGCCAGGCCCATCATCGGCGCGTGAACGAAACCGAACTGACTGTGCGGCATGTTTGTTCAATTGGAACGAGTGAAGTTAAGCGGTTCTGTCGCGTGAGTCCGGATGCCTTTGTGCATGCCGCATTTCATCTTGCCCAGCAACGGGTCTTTGGGGACCAACGGTCAACGTATTGTGCCCTGCTAATGAAAAAGTATCACCATGGACGCACGGAAACCCTGCGCACAGTAACACATGCAACCCAGGCAGTAGCAGATGCAGTGACTTGTGCACGCAATAAAAAGACATTTAACGCGGCGGTTGCGGCAGCGTTGCAAAAGGCGAGCCAAGAACATTACCGACGCATTACGGTGTGTCGTGCAGGAAATGGGTTCCATCGGGCTGTGACGCTCCTGCGGCGTCTACACGACGAGGCAAGAGAACGGTTAACATCTGAAGCCTCATCACCGTGCACGCATCCTTTTGCCAAGGCCTCCGCCACTGTTGAGGCTCTGTTTTTTGAATCATCTGCGCTTCGAGAGCTCTCATACAATTATCTTTCAACTTCCAACATATCGGGCAGTGGCATTTTAGCTTTTTGCTTCACAGCGACACATCCTGATGGCATTGGAATTGGGTACTCGCTTTTTCCCGATCACCTGACGTTTTCCTTTTCAGTATTCAAAAACTGCGGACGCCCATTGAAGGGTGCATGGAAAAACAAACTAAAAGAGGCCGCTGTGGAGGAGGGGGGAAGACGTGTGTGTGAGCTGTATGCTGACACATTGGAACATTCTGTTCGCGACCTGTATCGTCTTTCAGCTGTGCTGCCTCTTGCCAAGCTGTAGAAGATGAGGCTAATTTTGTATGTTTTTATGTTTCTCTCTCTCTCTCTCTGTGTGTGTGTGGTCGCCTTGGAAAGAAGCTGAAGAGCAAGTGCGTTGCACACAACGACATAGGGAGAATTTGCGTGTTTGCGTGTGTGTTGCCATCATTTTGTTAATGTTGTATTTTACGTACATGATGATTTTATTTTGTTTTTCTCTTTTTTGCAGCGATTCATTTTGCCGTTGTTGTTGTTGTTTTTTATTATTATTTTGCCCATCCTTCCTCTTTTTCATTCCTTCTTTCTTTTTTTGTTTCTTTGTCTGTTTGTGTTTGCCTGTATTGCTTCTTTTGCTGCAGCGTAGGTGGTGCGTTTCTTCTTGCTGCTTCTGCTGCCGCGTTGTATCCAAATGGCTGCACGTGGTGTTTTGGGTGCTGCCTGTGCCGTTGGGGGCCTCACGATGACAGGCGTCGCGCTGACGGTCTCGCGATGGCGCCGAGCGGAGAAGCGCCGAGCACAGCTTAACAACGAGTACGCCGACATTTTAACGGAACTCCGCTCGTTGAATGACGCACGCCTGAAAGGCGCCGACGATCTTCGGCGCAAAAGGCAGGAAGTAGCTTTGATGCATGAAACGGTAGCCACACTCTGGACCGATCGCCTGGCACGCTACGTACAAACCAATAAGACGCTGCACTCTTTCTTGAAGGCCCTTCCAGAGGCACTTGGTGCCCTGAAGGGTCTCACAAATCATTACCAGTACATGACAACGGAGATGCGGAAGTTTGTGGCTTTTGATGTCGCCTGCAGCAAGGTGCATAACTTTGCACTTCTTCTTGAACACGGAGAACGCGTAGGAATGCCGCGTGTGGTTGAGAGAATTCGTCAACTACTCATTGCAGAACCTCTCGTGCAAGTGGTGTGTGACAGCGTTAGTCAGATTCCCGCAGACATCAGCAGCCCAAGTTCTATTGGTGAGTGTAGCTCAAGTTTTGTCTTCTGTATAGAGGAGCTTGAGCGGGCGATGGAGGTTGCGGTTGCGCGTTATCTTGAATTTCAGAGTGAGAACGGAAGCAAGAGCCCTAACGTCATTTGCAGTGGCGTGCGAAAGCTTACTAACGAGGCACGGGTGAGTACACTTACCAAAGGTGACATCGCCTTGCAGAAGGAGCGAAGAGCGCTTCGTGACCTCCTCCTCCGTGACCGACGGCAGCTGCACACTGCCGGTGACCTGAGGAGTGCTTTGGAATACGTTGAAAATGTGTCGAATCAGCTCCGCTCTGACGACGCGAAGGAGGCTGGGCTGCGAAAGGTTGTTTCTACGGACACAGCCGTCAACGTGGCACATGACCAACTCCTCTTGTGGCGGAAGTCGGCAGCCGTCTTCTTAGTGCAGCAGCAGGCGAAGGAGGTGCTAGACGCCTACCAGCTGTTGTTGGCGGAGACACTAACAAAAACAAGGCCAGACCCGTAAAGAAGAGCGGCAACGGGACAAACGAGAGGGAATGTGGCGGGCCGTTGGTTCTTTCAGAAGGCATGATGAAATAGGCTTAGCTCAACTTGGGTGATTAGCACGCGGCAGTGAGGAGGGGGAACTAAGTCAGACACTCTGTTTTTTGTTTTGTTTGTGTTTCACATATTGTGGTGCGCATGTGTTTGTTGAGGGCATTGAGTTCCCCACACGTTTTTCCTTCTCTTCGGCAAGCTATGACACTGTTTCTGTTTTGTCTTCTTTAAATAAATATATATATCAATAAATTATTGCTTGTTTGCGCCGCTCACGGCACCCCAACAACACGCTCCCGTCCGCGCTTGCACACTTGCGCTAGAGGGAAGCGAGAAGGACAAAAGTAATAAGAGCAACACAACAACAAGAACGAGGAAGCCGTACGCACTTGAGAGGGTTACTTTTTTTTTTTTTGTTTTGGTTTCAGATTTAATTCTGCGACAGTGATATATTTTTATTTAGGAATTGCCAGCAAGACGCATGCCAGAGGCTTGCTTTTTGTGCTTGGACTCCACGGAGTTTATGCGCAATGGCGATCAATTTCCCACGCGTTTCCTTGGGGTACAGGAGGCGGCAAGTCTCCTGTCCAACGCCAAGATCCAGATGAATGCAGAAAACACTGTAGGATTCCTGACACTTGGTGGCAACGCGTGCACTGTCTTTGAGACCCTCACGCTGGATGTGGAGCGAGTCATGTGCAGCCTTGCAAATATTTCTATCCGGGGCAAACAATGCCACTTTTCGCAGGGGCTTCAGATTGCTTCGCTCGCATTGAGCCACCGAACAAACCCACGGGCGGAAAAGCGCATTGTCGCCTTTATTGGCACCCCACTTAGTGAAACAGACGAGGAGCTGGACAAGCTGGCGCGTAAGCTTCGCAAAGATGATGTGGCTGTTGATATTGTGGGGATTTGTGTGGAGGAGAATGTTTCGCGCCTTGCAGCGTTTGTAGACAAGTTGAGCAAGAATGGCAACTCCCGCTTCCTTAATATCCCTGTTGGTGCGAACCTCACAGATGCATTGATGACCAGCCCTATTTTACTGGGCGCGGACAGTGTTGGCGGCGCAACCGATTCCCACGAGGCGTATCAAGGGTTTGGCGTGGACCCCTCCAACGATCCTGACCTTGCCATGGCTATTCGCATGTCGCTGGAGGAGGAGCAACAAAGACAGGCGGCGGCAGCGACACTGGCATCCCAAAATACGGCCCCCGCCGCTGCAACAACGCATGAGGAGCCCTCTCCCCCGCATGAGGAGCCGGAAGACCTGGAAAACTTGTCAGAAGAGGAAATGATTGCACGCGCAATGCGGATGTCGCTGGAGGATGCACAACAGACGGGAAAAGGGGCAGAGGCAAGAAACACGGTTGCCACTTCTGACGAAGGGTCCTTTATGCACGAACTTGAAAGACGTCTGGAGGGTGAACGCCTAAATAAAGGAACCTCTCAACCACCAGGAGACGATAACCTCCCTGTGAACGAAGAAGAGTCTCAAGGTGAGGAAGAACCGAAGGATAAGAAATAATTCTTCTCACTTGCTTGCGTGTGTTTCTTTCCTTTTCCCCTTGGAACGGTGCATGGCGGGCATATATATATATATTTATATATATATATATGTTTTATAGGGGCACGAAGGGGAGGAGGGGAAACGACAACATTGACATCAAGAAAAGTGTCGTCTCACGTAACAGGAGGAGACAAAGCAACGAGGAAATGTGTGACTAAATGTGTTACCATCCCCCAATGATGTGTGTATGTGGTGGGGGAAGAGAGAGGGTGCCACAAGGATTTCTTAAGCACAACAGCAACAATACAAGAATTACGTTGTACTGTGTTTACTGCTTTTGTCAGTTTTTTTATTTCTTTTATTATTAATGTTATTTTGTTTGCCTTGATGCACGTGTGTCTCTTTGTACTTTTCCCACCGTGTGGGTGGGTGTATGTGTGCCGGCTTCCTTGTGTGTATCTCCACCTTTATTCATTCTGCCTTTTCATGTTTATGTTTAGCCGCTCAACATTTGTTGAGACTGTAGAGCACACAGGCAGTATAAATAAATAAATAAATATCTGGCCTTTACAAAGATGTCCTTAGCGACTATTCGTGTCTTGGTGTGTGGGGCGGACCTTCATCGAGTGGAGTCGGCGCTTGGTGGCTCTGTAGAGAACACACACTTTGCGTGGAATCGTCGTTACGAAATATCTTGTACTGCTTCAGCGGGTGTTTCTGAGGTTGACAGTCGGCTACTGTCGACGTGTCACCTTGTGGTGCTCACAAGGGGTGCCAGCTCTCCGTTAAAGGTTGAAAGCTATCTTAGCAAACCCACCGTCGCACTGGAGGATGCCCCAGAGAGCGCGGTGGACATGCTAAAGTGTTGTGACTTTTACTATGGTGTGCACCCTCTGGAAAATTTGCGTTCAGTAGCTTTGGATATGGGCCTTTCCCCACCACACGTTATTTGGGATGCCGCATTACACACGTTTACACGCAACGGTTCATTGTGCCTTCGTCGCGCCTTTTGGCTTCTTGACAAGGATGGAGACGGGGTACTAAATGAGGAGGAGATACTTGCGTGGCAGCGTTCCGTGACCTCCGCATGCTTCTCAAAAGCCGACGTTGGTGAATGGTTTGCTAGTTGTTCCCTGAAGGCCTCCATCATGGCGTTAAGTTCTGACGTCTTTATGAAGCTGCAGGAAGACTTTTTACGGAATGGCGACGCTAAGCAGGTGTGGGCGACACTTAATGCAACCGGTATCTATCCTGATGGACTGCCGTATTCGTGGAGAGACATACATGCGGTACGTGTAAGCAAAGAGAGCAACACATACCTTTCACACACCGCCATTCAATTTTTTAGAAACTTGTACAAACTTCGTCGTTTTCATGATCTTAACAATATGTGGGACGTCACCCCCGGCTGCCCGTGGAAACACGTGCATGGGTTTCTTAAGAGACAAATCCCACTGGATAAGTTTATTGAATACTGGAAGTATTTGGCATTGACAAACAGGAGTGTGGTTGTGCAGTATGCCAGATATTGGGGTTATAAAGGGGATACAAGTATTTTGTTTTTGTTACGGCATGCGCGCCCATACCGTGAATTGGATGAGGCTGTACCTAACACAATTCAGGTTCTTGTAGTTGGATCCCCTGGATGTGGGCGGAGAAGTCTTATGTTTACACTTACTGCATTGGATGAGGAGGTCTACAACGACGAAGAAATGGATGCATCGCAGGGCATGTACGTCCGAACCACGACGTTTCCTGTAAGGCATGGTGAAGGAGACATACTGCAGACGATAGTGTATACCACCGTACCCATTGATCACCTTATGAAGGTCTTAGGCGATGAAATGCTGGAAAAACAGCTGGACGTAGTGCTTCTCTGTTATGATGGGAGTCGTGTTGAAGAAACTACACCGCCCATTATGCGTGCATATCTGGACGCTAAGGCGTCACCATTGCGGTGCTGTAACTTGCCTTTTGTGGTTGTCATGACGAAAGCGGAGGCTTCCACATCCCCGGAGGCTTTGAGTGAGGGGAGTAAGACGATGGAGCACTTTTGTCGAGAGCACCAGTTACTATGGCCTCCTGTTGTAACTAGCGTAGAATCTCCTGACAAATTTGAGATTGTTGCGCTTAATGAATACATGTATGCGGTCGCCAAGGAACCCGAAATTGCTGTGGGAAATCCACCTCTAACTCCCATGAGAATATTACGGCGCGTTGCAATCGTGACATTTTTTACACTCGCCGTAGGAAGTATCACGCGTTTGGTTCTTCGACGACTTCGTAAAAGGCGGTAATAGGGAGGGGAATGTTTTTAATTGGATACGATTCGGTAACTATGTGTGAATACGGGTGGAACAGATGTGCAACTAACACAGAGGAAGGAACAAAAACCACAAAGGCAAATAGAAAAGCGAACAACGGCAATTAGAAGGGAAACGGGGCGGGAAAGAATGAGGGATATGTAACCCCCTCAAATGTACCGAAGTGAAGTGGAGGTATGTGTGCGTATATGTGGTTGTCTCGATACTATTCTTGTTACTTCCATTTTGTTTGCTATTACCCTCTTTATTTATTTCTCTCTTGCTCATCAGTACCCCATTTTTTCCAGCTGTCTTCTGGCTACTCCTGCGACTACTCGCTTTTCCCCTCTTCTTCCAACCCGTTCTTCTGCTGGCACAACCGTTTTGCCGAGGCTATTTGTGCGGTCTTGCTATACTACCAAATACTTTTTGCCGCTACACGTCATGACTGTTGGTCTTCCCGCGACCTTCGCCGCTGGCTGCTTTTGGGGGACCGAAAGGTTCTTCGTCAAGCGCTTTGGGGACGCCTTGATTTCGCACCAAGTGGGGTACATGGGAGGCACTGAGGCTGACGAGATTACGTACCCGATGGTCAAGAAGGGCGACACCGGGCATGCAGAGGTGCTGCACCTCATTTACAATCCGGACAAAGTCACCTACCAGCAGCTGCTTGACTTTTTTTTCCGCATTCACAACCCAACGACGATGAATCAGCAGGCGGGCGACATCGGCACACAGTACCGCAGCGCCATTTTTTACCACAATGAGCAGCAGTTGCAGGAGGCCAATGAGTACATTTCGAGGCTCAATGGTGCGGACCCGGCGCTTCGTGCCGCCTTTGTGAAGGCCTTTGGAGATGTACAGGTTGTCACCTCGTTGGAGAAGGCGGCACGTTTTTTATCGGCGGAAGAATACCATCAAG